TGTTTTTGGACCCTGACCCCGCGGATCTGCGTGAGGGGTGGCACCGAATTTCAGAAATGTGGCAAATCCCATGTGTTTTTGGACCCTGACCCCGCGGATCTGCGTGAGGGGTGGCACCGAATTTCAGAAATGTGGCAAATCCCATGTGTTTTTGGACCCTGACCCCGCGGATCTGCGTGAGGGGTGGCACCGAATTTCAGAAATGTGGCAAATCCCATGTGTTTTTGGACCCTGACCCCGCGGATCTGCGTGAGGGGTGTCGATTTCGAGCCCCCCCAGCAATTCAGACAACGCGCCCAGGGGTGCTGGAAAATCCGGTTTGGGCCTCCCCCCCCCTCGCGCGGTCAATCAACTAGTTACAGTAACCAGCAAGAAGTCAACTAGTTACAGTAACCAGCAAGAAACAGAACTGTAACACTGGAAACTAGAAACTACAACTGGTACAGGAAACTGCGAATCACGCGCCTACAGCCTGGTGGCCCCACAAGGGGGCCGGCGGACTACTACTGCCACGACCTACTACCACTACTGTGGCTACTATCGCTGTAATCATTAGTTTACCCATGCCCCAACTAGTACCATCTTATTCGTGGTCAAGCAGTGTCGTTATGCTGTCGTGTCGTCTAGATACTATCATGGTTCTCTTCGTCATCCCGCTTCCTTGTCGCTGACTCCTCTTGGTCGTACCACCAGAAGCAGGTGGGACGGTTAGGGAGGGCTCGTTCTTTCGCCTCAGACGTCCCGAAGCCGAATCGATCTCAGAGTTATGCGGGTGGTGGTTGGAGTGTTTCATGTGGTGGGTTTCGCGATCGCGCCGCACATATTCGTCTTGAGTTCTAGACGCTCGCATTAGTTACGCGGTTTAGCATAGAGGTGGGGCGGGAATGATTATCATATCAGCGCCCTCCCAATTCCTGTCAGTTCCACGGACGGACACGAGACTGTTTTCAAAACGTGTTATCGCCCTAGCGCCGAGCACGTTCGCCTCGAAGCTTGCAACCGTTCCCGGATTCAGGGCGGCTCCTTTCCAAAAGGGGGTTCTCGCTGGTGACTTCCTGGTATAGCATGCTACGAAGCGTGAAGCTTGTAGTCGTCGGATGGAGGGCGGTTGCTCTCCAAAATGGGGCTCCCTCAAGAGCCTCTTGGGGCCTCTCAAAAATCATTGCCCGAAAGGGAACGCCTGACACGACCGCACGGATTGAACGAGACGCTTTTCCAACATGGGGTTTTCGTCTGGCACACACTTGACTTCTGTGACCTTGCATCCTGACATTCACTACACAGTCGGACCAACATCGAGGTCGGTTCGAAGAGGGTACCCTGATGTTCCTCGTGTTTGCTTGATGTTTTTTGTGCGTTCTGGGGGAGGGCATCCTCGAGTGATCTTGTGGTTTGGAATGCTTTGGCCGGCGGATGGTCTCACGTGCTTGAAGAATGTTATTCTGTCCTAGCTCCTGCTGGATTCAATCTATTCTCTAATATGGAGGGCCGTTCCTTCTTGACACGGGGTCCTCGCCTGAATGCCAGGCTCATGAGGAGCTCGTCCCATGGAGGGCCTCCTTTCCTCCTTTCCTCTCCTCCCATTATTGGCCCCCTTTCCTCATTCCTCTCCTCTCTACTCCCTCCTCCGTTTTTTCCTTTCTCCTCTCCTCTCCCCCTTTCTCTCCCTTCTCTCCTCATTTCCTTCCCTCTCTCCTCCTTTACTTACTCTCCTCCCACCCTGAGCAGGGCAAACAGGGGCACAACACAAACTCTTGGAGGCCCGCGCGGATTCCGTGTGTCGCCCTTGGACACCCTTTCCTCTGCTCCCGTTCTCGACCCCCTCCCTCCCGCCCTGGGCAGGACAGAAAGCGGCACAACACGAACTCTCGGAGGTCTGCGCGGATTCCGTGGGTCGACCTTGGATTCCCCCCCCACACCCCCTCTCCCTGGCGGGCGGATGGACACTGACCGTCGTCGAAACCGACGTTTCTGGGGAAACCAGCATGTACCGATACCGCTAATCCCAGGACCTTTCCCTGGGGTGCGTTCTGACAACAAAAATCGAGGCGAGTCCAGGCGTGGCGACGGGGGCCTCCCAGGAGGCCCCAGAAAGGTGAGCACGAGAGGAGGGCAGCGGCATGGGTGCCTTTTTCTCCCCCGAGTTTCCGTTCGGTCTCGGTCTGGGGTGTGTGTGGCCGTGGCGCCGACCTCTGAGCACCCGCGTCCTCCCCGCTCCCTCCCCCCCTCTCGGCGATCGACGTTCGATCCTCACCTCTGATGCTGCCCCCCCCCCCCGCTCTGGGCGCCAGGGGGCACGGATGGCAAAACGTGGCCTCGGAGGCCTGGTCCCGCTTCTGGCTCCTCGTGGGGTCGGGGCGCGAGCGGGGGCACTCCTCGAGCAGGACTCCTCCTGTCTCAGACGCCGGGTGCAGCTCGGTGGCGCCGTCGTCCTGGGCGGACTCGCGGTGACCCCCCGAGTAGTCGGAGGGAGGCCAACGATGCACCACCACCAGCCCTGGCCAGGCACTTCTTGGGCCCTGGATCGGTTTGCAGACCTCCTGGCCTAGGCCAGGAAGGCCTGTACACCAGTCCAGGGCCCGCGATGGGCCTGGCCAGGGCTGGTGGTGGTGCTGGCGAGAAAATATTTCATGATTCCGTAACTGCATGAAGGCTGGTATGTGTGTAATGGTCTTTGAACGAATTCAAAACCTTTGGCGCCTGTGTCACGGCGGACACTGTACTCCCTCCCGTTGCGAGGTGGAGGCTAACAGCCTTCGGAACAGCGATCGTTGCACCCTCCTGCGAGGACCCAGACCTTCAACGTCATGTTTTCTCAATGCCGTCGACCCCCAGAGATTTCGACCCAATCCCTGCGACCGGTTCTTAATCCTGAGCCGTTTCTTGACGGTCCCGAGGCCCGGTAAGGGCCCTCAGAGGCCGAAAGCAGGTAAACATATCCGTCATGAATTTTTCTTGACCCGAGGGGAGAGCACACTGCTGCGCGTGGGATGAGTGGCAATGGGAACGGTCAGTGATGAGGCTGTGATGCTTCTTATCATTCTGAGCCGGCCATGATGCCCACTCGTACGGTAGGTTCGTGTCGTGTCGACCGGCGGTGACCCCGCCAGCGGCGTTCAACGTTGAACGCCGCGGGCGACCCAGAATCGTTCGATGTGAAACGATTTGGACGTTTCGGAAACGGCTGATCGTTCAAGGTTGAACGATCCCCGCGGTGTCAGAAGCCAACTCCGAGGTTGGCACGACACGAACCTGACGTACCCACCTTGTTCCGTCTAGAGGGACCCCGCGACCCCTATGATGGCGGGGTGGGAGGATGTCAAGGGAGGAGAAACCACACGGACCCGATAATTGGCGTTTACTAGACGGTCTTGGGCGTTTACTCAATAGCCCTGCCCTGTCTGATTCCCTCTGTGGGTGCGCCTTCCAAACGGCCTCGCTTGTCGGGGAAGTTATAATGGGGGTGGATTTTTTGCCCTCTGGGATAGGCTGCCACCCCTTGCACTGCACGCACGGTGCCAGGGCTCGCCCTGGGGCGACCCCCCTTGGCATTAAGTCGGGCGTGTCCCTCCACAGGAGGAATATTCAAAAATAGTCCAGAAGTCGTCTGGGGACGATCTTTTGATAATCTTGTTGAGCATTTTTGGAGTATTTTTTTTTACTATTTCTCATGTTTCCTCCAAAATCAGCCTGTAGGGGGACATGCCCGACCTAACCCTTGCACTGCACGCGCGGTGCCAGGGCTCGCCCTGGGGCGACCCCCCGGCCACCACCGTGTCACTGTCGAGCTACACTGTCAATGCCTCGCGCTCTCCTGGGGCCTTGCTGTGTTCTTGCTCGTTCTCGCGTGTCACGTGTGCGGAGCGGCACTGTCAGGACCGCGCTGTCCTGTGGCTCTGCTGTGCTCCTGCTCGCAACGCGCACCGCCAGAGGCGGCGGAGAGCTTGAGAGATCCACCCGCCCAAAGGCATCGCCCCGTCCGCGGGGCGCGGCCTCCCGCCGCCGCGGCGGCGCGGCAGGGCGATGCGCGGCGCGACCTCGGCGCGCCGGCCCCTCGGGGTGGCGTCCTCCGTGGTGCTGGGCGCGGCCGCGGGCGCGGCGGCGGCGCCGGGCCCGAGCCTCGGGGGCGGGGGGAGGGAGCCTCGAGACGGGGGTCAATGCAGACGGGGGTCAGTCAGGGCGCCCGATCTCGCAGGATCCTACAGAGGCCAGGGTCGCACGGACCCGGGCCTGGGTGCAGGATCCTGCTGGATCTTGCAGGATCCTTCGCGCTGACCCGGGTTTGGGTGCAGGATCTTGCAGGATCCTGCAGCTTCGAGCCTCACCGCGCCGCAATTATATGGCTTGGGCCCGTGGCACGCTTGGCCAATTGCAGGATCCTGCAGGGTTCGGCAAGGCCTGACTGACCCGGGTCTGGATTGACCCGGGTCAGAAGATCCCCGAAGGGGGGAGGGTCAAGAGCCTTGAGACTCAGACCCCCCTCGGGTCGTGACAGGAATCACGACGGCAGGTTCTGCGCTCTTCTTGGCCTCCGGGGGGCCCTCGTCGGGGCTCGGGGCCGTCAAGAAAGGACGCAGGACAAAAAGCGGGTCCAGGGGAGTGGGTCGAGACTTCTGGGGGTCGACGTCATGAAAAAATCATGACGTCGGCGGTTTGGCGGCGACGGGGGTCAATGCAAACGGGGGTCTGCCAGAGCGCTGGATCTTGCAGGATCCTAAAGGGCCAGGGTTGCATCGACACGGGTTGGATCCTGCAGGATCTTGTAGGATCCTGCAAGGCCTGACTGGCCCGGGTTTGCACTGACCCGGGTCAGTGCGTCCCCGAGAGGGGTCAGGGGCATGGTCCCCAGACCCCCGACGTCATGATTTTTCCATTACATCGGCCCCAAAGGTCTCGACCCATTCCCCGGGACCAGTTTTTCATCCTGCGTCGTGTTTTGACGGTCCCGAGGCCCGTTGAGGGCCCCTGGAGGCCGAAGATATTGAAAAACCTCCCGTAATGATTTTTTCAGGACTCGAGGGGGTCTGGGTGAGGGGCATGTGGCAGCGCATCGACCCCCAAATCGCAATCGGCTGGGGTCGTCTCCTTGGGCCAGAGTCACCTCTGGCAGCGCCCGAGGCTGGAAGCTCCATGCGGCGGAAAGCTCGTGGCGATTCCGGACCAAGTCCCACCCCCGCCGCCTGTCTGATTTGGCCCAGTAGGGGTGTCGCTGGTGGGAGTTTACTTCGCTGGTGCTCGCACGAATCTTCTCATCCCCCACGGCCGTCCCGGGGACCCAGAAGGATTTGGAACAGTTGCGGAAGGGTTCGCATGTGGCCGCCGAGAGCGGAGGATGGGGACGAAGGGGAGGAGAGGTAGGCTAAGAAGTGGGAGGAGAAGGGGGAGTTGGAGGAGGCGGTGGAAGAGGATGATGAGACATCCTTTCATATTCCTTCTCCATCTCCCCGTTCTGCCCCCTCCTTAAGAAACGCTCCCCGGCCTCGTTCTTGAGGACATCCTGGCAGGGGCTTCGAGGAGGATGGCAAGGGTGAAGGAGGATGAGGAGGAGGAGGAGGAAGAGGAGGATGAGGAGGGATGATGCTGATGATGCTGCTTCTAATGATGATGCTGCTGCTGTTGATGATGCTGATGCTGATGCTGATGATGATGCTGATTATGATGATGATGCTGGTGGTGGTGATGGGGATGCTGATGGTGATGCTGATGAGGATGATGTTGATGATGCTGCTGATGCTGCTGATGATGATGACGGCGGTGCTGGCGACGATGACGATGACGATGACGATTACGATGATGGCGACGACGACCACGACGACGATGAGGATGATGGCGATGATGATGATGCTGCTGCAAATGATGATGATTATGATGATGATTATGATGATGATGATGCTGGTGGTGATGATGATGCTGATGCTGATGCTGATGCTGCTGACGATGATGGTAATGATTACGATGACGAGGAGGGCGAGGTGGATAATGAGGACCATGAGGATGATGATTGCGATGATGATGATGGTGATGATGATGATGCTGCTGCCAATGATGATGCTGATGATGCTGATTCTGATGATGATGCTGGTGGTGATGATGATGATGCTGATGCGGATGCTGCTGACGATGATGGTAATGATGACGATGACGAGGAGGGTGAGGTTGATGATGAGGACCAGGAGGATGATGATAATGATGATGATGAGGAGGAGGAGGACGAGGATGCTGGTGCTGCTGATGCTCATGCTGATGTTGTTGCTGATGCTGATGACGATGATGGTAATGATGACGATGACGAGGAAGTTGATGAGGATGATGAGGAGCAGGAGGATGATGATGATACTGATGATTCTGAGGAGGAGGAGGAGGAGGAGGAGGAGGAGGACGAGGTTGCTGCTGCTGCTGATGATGATGCTGCTGATGATGACGATGGTGCAGATGCTGCTGCTGATTATGATTATGATGGTGATGCTGATGCTGATGCTGATGCTGATGATGATGCTGCTGCTGATGATGACAAGGATGCCGATCATGCTGCTGACGATGCTACCGATGATGATGGTGATGCTGATGATGATGATGATGAGGATGAGGATGAGGATTATGATGATGATGCTGATGATGATGATGATGCTGATGCTGATGCTGATGATGATGCATCTCATGATGATGCTGATGATGCCGATGCTGCTGATGACGATGGTGATACGGCTGCTGCTGCTGATGATAATGCTGCTGCTGATGATGTTGATTATGTTGATGATGATGATGATGATGATGATGATGATGGTGGTGGTGGTGGTGATGATGATGCTGCTGCTGATGATGATGTTGAGGAGGAGGATGACGATGATGATGATGATGCTGATGATGATGCTTCTGCTGATGATGATGATGATGATTCTTATGATGAGGATTATGATGCTGCTGATGCTGATGGTGATGATGGTGAAGAATAAGAATAAGAATAATAATAATGATAATAAGAATAATAATAAGAATAAGAATAATAATAAGAATAATAATACTAAGAATAAGAAGAAGAATAAGAAGAGTAGGACGAGGAAGAGGATGAGGGAGGATGGAGCAGGAGAAAGAGGGAGCAGGGGGAGGAGGAGGCGCTCCACATCTACAAGTTGGCTGCCGTGTGCAGTTGGTGCAGGCGGGTGGGGCGGGGCCAGGACCCTAAACTTCTCGAATCAGCGCCGTGAACCTCACCTTGATTTGGCCCACCCGAGCGTTTGCAGCCCAGGGCTGGGGAGCCAGTGCCACGGCGTCTGGACGGGGAGGGCCGAAAGCTTGGGGGACGTCAGCTGACCACCTCGCAGGCCCTGGCCAGGCCCATTCTGGGCCCAGGATCGGTGTACGCGCCCTCCTGGCTTGGCCAGGGAGGCACATACACACCTCCCCTGGGCCCAGGATGGGCCTGGTCAGGATCGGTGAGGTGAGGCGGTCGGCTGACATCCCCCGAAGGGTGCACAGTCGAAGGCACCACACGCTCCACTCACTTCTTGGGGGGGGGGGGGGGCTAGATGGTGGAGCTGCCACGGGAGATAGCCTCGCCGCGAGCGGACTTTCCTCCTCCTACTCCTCCTCCTCCTCCTCGTGACCTCTGGGTGCTCTCGTCTGCCGTGAGCTAAACGCGAGCCATGTCCCCCAGATCTTCGACGACGCGCTTCGCCGAGAGAGGTTGTGACAGCCGGGCAGGTTTGGCAACATAGGTTTACCGTTTAGTAACCTCGAGGGGGAGATCTTGGCCCAGAGACCAAGAGGACTGACGTTTGCGCGCCTTGTGGTTCAAGGCCAAAACGATTTGCTGCTGCTCTTGCTGCCACAGCTGGTAGCGGAGCGTCTCGGGTGCTGGAGGCACGGGTGCCCGCCCCGGCGCGCATGGCGTGCTCAGGCGGTGGCGCTCCTCGCTTATAGGGCGCGCGCCGCTTCGGAGAAGCTGACGGGCGTGGGATCCGCGGCATGCCCTCTGACGAGGGCGCAGACGACAGAGAGAGAGAGCAGGGAAGTATTCGCAGTCATGTCTGGGGCAGCCGCGGGCGCGGCGGCTCCGGACCAGGCGGCGGCTGCAGCAGCGACGACATGGTCTCCGACGGTGGCATCGAGCATCCGTTCCGACGAGATGTGGGAGCTTGTCAAGACTATGCTGAAAGATATCATAGCAGAGCAGGCGGTCTCCAAGACGGACTCTCGGCGCCCGGAGGGCGATGCTTGGGTAACGGAGCCCGACCCTTGGACGAAGGGTCTACCCACACCTGGCTGGCGAGAAGGCGAGAGCAAGAACAACTCCTGGAACTCCGGCTGGCAGAAGAAATCCGAGGACGGCGCCTTGACGGACCACGATTGGCAACAAGAGTCTTGGGGAGCGAAGTGGTGGCCAGCTGGCTTTGGAGGCATCTGGAAGGGCGACTACTCCGACCAGCCTGGCTGGCCCAGGTGGGCCAATTTCCGCTCATGGAAGAGAGCTGTCGAGAGATGCAACGTATATACAGACGTGCCGATGTGGAAGAGACGAGAAGTTCCTCAAGTTGTTCGATTGGTCAATACAGGAACGCTTTGAATATATTCCTCTTCCTGAGCTCGGGGGGTCACGCTGGCTCAAAGTGCTTCTGGCCAGGCTGGAGCGCATGATTGGGGAGAGAGGGGCCGCGCTGTTCAAGAGCACTCGCGAGCCCAAGACGATCTCGCAGGCCTACGTGGACCGACGTGAACGACAATTCCGTGAGGCCGAGGGGAACGAGTGGTGGATTTCCGACAATGTGAAGGGCTTCATGATGGAGGAAGGGGCGTCACTGTCGGGGCAGGGGGCGCAGAACCTCCGCGCCCTGACCCGCGGAGACTTGCAGTTCAATCGCGTCTGCTGGGCGCTGCGCCAGCTCGACTACACCACTTCTGAGCGCCTCCTGGGCGACCTCGCCTCGTTTTCGATCGAAGGCCCAGAGGCCGACGGCAGGCTCCCGCCAGACCCCTCTCGTTCCTTTCCCTTCTCCTTGTCGGGTCCATGCCAGGCCGAGGCAGACCAGAAGGAAGACGTCGATGGGGGCCAGGAGCCAGGCTCGTCGGGTGAGGAATCAGACTGTCTTTCGTCCACGGACATTGCGATGGCGCTGGCTGAGGGACTCGACCTAGACGAAGAGGGCGCCGAGACCTTCCCGGCCGGTGTGAAGCGGCGCACCTGGGAAGAGAGCAAAGATCTGAAGCGAGCAGCCGAACGTGATCGGGGGCTCAATCGGAGCGGCAAAGATCGACTACCAGGAGCTTGCGACAGAGTCCAACCTCCTCCTCTCGCCAACAGCCGAGGTCGCGGCGGCAGGGCAAAAGGTTAAAGGACCTGGCCAGACGCAGCGGAAGGCCAAGCATGTTGGCAGGCCGACCGAGGAGGTCATCAAGGTCACCCGGTGTCGTATATGTGACGAGCGCGGCCACTGGTCACGGGAGTGCCCCGAGATGGAGCTCGAGTCGATCGTCAGCTGGCATGCTGCACCTTCGCCTGCTTGAACGAGCAGTCCTCGAGAGACAGGATGACCGCGCTGAAGGAGGTGCGCGAGCAAATGAGCGAGGTCTTCCTCGCGACCCGTCCATCGCAGGGGCTGGTCGATCCTGGCGCCGGCAGCGACCTGGTGGGCCGCCTCTCCCCGAACCAGGACGCTCGCGAGATGGCGAAGATCGGCTTGGCGCGCGTGGTGATCCCAGCCGGCGCTGGAAAGCCATTGTGCCCAGCCAGAGGAGTAGGCGGCGCGGCCGAACCGATCGCGGCCTTCCTCTTTCCGCTGACGCTGGCCGGAGTCCTCGGGGCGATCGAGGCGACCATTTTGGCCGAGGATTTGCCCCGCGTCCTGAGTGTGAACCTGCTGGGCGTTCTGGGCTGCACGATCAACCTGCCGAAGAACGTCGTGATCTTCATGCGCCTCGGCCAGGGGCTTAGCCTGGCCGAGCTCCTCTCCGGGCGCCGCGTGGCCGACGTAGTCGCCCCGCTGCAGCCTCAGCCGGGGGTGCCCGAGAGCGCGCTGAAGGCGCGCCCTTTCCTGAAGAGCGACTCGTTCTACATGGGGGCAGGGGCCGGCCCGTGTGAGATGGCGGAGGGCGGGTCCATCCGCGCTGTGGCGAGGCGCATCTTCACCGCCATCAGCATCAGCATCGTCATCGGCCTCGTCGGCGTAGGGGGCCTGAGGGCTATCGACGGATCCCCCCGGCAATTCAGGAAGAAAGAAGACATCCATGGCGACTCCCGGGGCCCAGGGGGCTCGGGACCTCTGGTTCGATCTCCGAGGCGCTTCTGGGCTCGAGGGATTTCCAGGAACCAAGCTAAACTCAGGGCTGGAGCCCCTAGGCTCAGATTTCTGGAAGCCTCCAGGAGGTATGGTTCAACGTCGAGCCGAAGCGATCGATGCGAGCCTACTTTCAAGAACTCCTTAGGGTCGGCCAGTGCGCCGTCAGCTGGGGCGCGCCGCAAGGGGGCCCAGGGAATTGACGCTGTCCGGAGCTTTGCGGGTGAGGATGACGGATCGCCTGAGGCTGGGAGATCGGGTCCAGGACGCGGGATAGCGATCGAGACCAGGGCAACCACCTCGAATCGAGACCAGGACAGTCTCGAAACCCATGGGCCACCAAACCACCACGAGCTAAGCAATCGATTCGGAGACTTTTTGGCTCGAACCATTTCGGTCCGGCCAGAATTCGACGATTTCTCGGCCCCCAGTTCCAGTCAGCATGCAGAGGATCTGGGTAATTCTCGGATCGCTGGGTCACGCGACCGCGGTGGTCAGCGGCGGCGGGGCCTCATCCAGCTCGGGGGCAGGCAACGACGCGCCGTCTACCCCGACGAACCGGCCCCGGAGTCACATACCCCAGGCGCCAGCCGCGGGCCGCTGCCGGCGGCCGATGCTCAGAGCGTACCTCGAGGCGCAGGCGGCAGTGCGGGCGGCCCAGTCAGCGGCAGCACGGGCAGCTCAGGCGCGCCCGGAGAGTTTCCCTCCTGGGATCTTTCCCAAACTCCCGCCGCCCCATTTTGGGGCCAAGCCAGCTCCGAGGCCAGCGAGCCAGTCACCGCAGCCGCTGGCGCAATCGCCTCCCGCGGGCGAGCCGCCGCTTCCGCCGTTTCTTTCCTCCACCGAGGCACTCCGACGCGGTGGGGCAACGCCGCGTTGATGTGGCGATGGCAGCGAGCGCGGCAGATCAACCAGAGCTGATCATGATCAACGACGTCGAGCCTCCCGCCAACGTGCGTCTCCATCGGAATGTGCGATTCTATGGGGACCTACGCGGACGCGGGGCCAGTTGCCAGGACTGTCGAGAGCGGATCGCCCGGGCGCCCGCGAAAGAGGCAGTCCACCTGGAAGGTCAGGCCCCGCAGCCAGCCGCGGCAGCAGCGCGGCGAGCAGCCGAACGAGCAGAGCGGGCCGTAGCCTTCTTGGGGGAACAAGGGCCCGCGCCAGGCGGAGCGACCCTGGCGGTGGTGAACCAAGCCGAGACAGTGCTGCGGGCGCTGACTCACCAATTGCAGCACTTGCCACGCGGGGCCGGGAACACCCAGTGTATCATGGACTCGCTCGAGCGGATCTTCGAACAAGTGGCGACCCTTCAGGCGAATCCAGAGCGTGCTACGGAGGCGCATCAACATATTATCCAGGGGGGTCTCCGCGTCCGGAGGGCGATCGAGGCGATCGAGCCGATCAGATCAGCGAGACGGTGGACCAGATCAACGAGACGGTCTCGGCAACCCTTCCCGTAGTGCAGAACCTCGCTCGTTTGGACAGCCGGGCCACATGATGATCAACATGGCCAACCAAGCGAGTGGGATATACAACATGCTCAACGCCGCGGGGGCCCAGGTGAGTGGGGGTGCTTTGTCATCGGGTTCAGCCAGGGAGCCAGGGGCCCAGTCGGGATGGGAAGCGGCGCCTGGGCAAGACCTGACCTCCCCTATCGTGCGAGCAGAGGCCGCCTCCTACATCGCAGTGAGTGAGGGCGTCTCCAAGAGCTCCTGCCGGCCCGACGAGGCCGGGCTTGCCGCCTCGAGCCCTCCCCATCCTCCTGTCGCTCGTCTCCATCCTCGATTGCGTTGTGTTTCACTCTGTTGCCAGGGCGCCGGAGGCTCGAGTGGTTCTCCAAGGTTTCCCTTTCAAAGAGATCGCCCTCTGCTCGCCAGACTGGATCGACAGAGCAGCCGCGAGCAGTACGCCAGCGGACAGGGGACGAGGGAGCAGCGGCCGCGGGAGGGGGCATGACAGTGGACGAGGGCACGGGCGCGGCAGCAGCCGAGGGGCAAGGA